TTTATCCGCATTCAAAATAATACTGGAATATTTATTTTTTTAATTCATTCTGACTACATTTTAATAGCGTTTAGAATATATATTAGTTTTTCTGAACAATTAAAAAAAATTAACTTCAAGCTGTTTTTATTTTATGTAAAATTTGATATAATTCTATTGTTCGTTTCCATTACGTTTTATTTTTAGTTTCTCAAATATATTTTATTTTTATCTACAAATAAAATGATTCTATTGTTCAAATTCATAATAGAACTTACATGTTTTTATTAATTATAGATAATACATATTTGTTCGCACTATGTTTTTATTGTGATTAAATAAAAAAATTGTATTTATTGATGTTAAATATAATTTATATTGTTACTTTGAAAAAAATGTCTGTTTTTGATAAAAATGATTCATATACGAATACTTGGTTTTATAATAGTAATTTAATCATAATCTGTACATACAACGTAAAAACAGTAACTTGAATATGTAAACAAATTGTTTTTTTCTTCTCAAGTTATAAAACTTCAACTTTTAAATTTTAAGTGATTTTCAGCCTTAGGTTTTTTTTTTTAATTTTATATTTATATAAAATATTTAATCTAATATGTAAAATATTTAATATTAAATAAAGGACATTCAGTAACGTACATACATTTTTAATTTATTTTTGAAAATGGCTCCCTTACTACTTGATTTTTTTTAAAGTAGTGCCGTAAGTGGAAATTTAGAATCGTTTTTCGCAGTATATGTACTTAACATATGTATTTACGTTTATAGATTCTAATCATCCGAATTGACCCAAACTAAACGGTCATAATATAAGAAATCGCACATCTAGAACAATTCTACAACAACTGGAAATTTGTCAATTATAAGTTATGATAGTATTGAAATATTCTATTAATTATAGAATAATTAATAATTTATAGATAATTTTCAAAGCAAAGTAATACATAAACATTTTTTACTTTATGATAGTATACATTTTTATATTTATCCATTTAATGCCTGCCTTATTTCAATTTATTGTGGGCAGACTTATTAATTTAAAATGTAACACTGTCATAATTCGACTTATGGCACATACATAGTTTAAATTCAATACTGCCGTATTTAGGTGTATGACTATTTTAAAATCAATTTGTGTACGCAATATAGCCACAATCAAAATATGGCAGTATTACATTCACTTTTTTTGTTGTAAAAATCGTAAAAGTTCATAAATCTAAATTTTTGGTTTTCAGTAAATATTTGAAGAAGTCATATTGTAAAGTATTTTTATGAGTACAGTAGAATCTCATTAATCCGGACTAATAAGGGCTCTAGGTTGTCTGATTTAATTAAAGTCCGGATTAAACAAAATAACCAAAAACATGTCCATATTATAGATTTAAGAATATTATATTATACTAATTATATATATGATATACAATATATATGTATTGCAACATGATATTAGGTCCAGCAAAAACATTACATATTAAAAAACTTACATATCAACTTAATGCATATACATAATCATATATAAATTACTAATACATAGTTTATGATAACTTTAATGACGGTAGATAAGAATATATGTACTTATGGGAAATTCGAGGAACTTGCTTTTATGTTTATTTTAGTCTACGGCATAAACTACGTATTTTTCGTAATATTAGACAGCTGTCCGGATTAAGCGAAGTCCGGACTAATGAGATCCGGATTAATGAGGTTCTACTGTATTTATGTTTTTAGTTTCATTTTCATAGATAAAAAAAATCGGTAAAATATTTTAATGGTTTATTATCACTCATATGATTTTAAACTTAACTTACACAAATTTCTTATTAATGAGTATTAAATTTTTTTTATTAATAAGTATAAGTTTTTAATTCTATTATAAAAATATGGACATAATTTGTTATTAAAACAGTTTCGTACATACATACAACTATAAGTTAATAATATTTAAAGTAGCTTATATCACTAAGACAATTGTCGGGTGCACTATTGGTTGATCAACAAATTTGGAATTTAAAAGGAAAATTAATGAAAAAACAATAAACGATAACTTAACTTAGAAATTTTGAAAAGAAAAATATTTTCTTTCAATATGTGTCAAACAAATAAAATTCATAAAAACACAACGTGTCAACTTATAAATAAACATATTAAAAAATTATCATTACCTATTAAATACATATAATTATGTGCCTCACATTCATCAACAACAAATTAATGAAAATATTAATGGAATACGGAAATCTAACAAAAAAACCCAGCACAGGGGGGTCGCGGTACAGTGGTGACGTGGCATAGTTGGATCAAGTATAATGATATCTGACAGTGATTAAAATCACTATCAAAACTAAACGCTTCGATGCAAACCTTTAGATAGTGTTTAATTTTAAAAAAATTGGGTGGATTATTCCAAAAGCTACATGATCTGCTAGTTCCTTATTAATATCTTGATTAAGATAAAGTATGTCGAATGAAAAAAGGATTATTAAAAAATATTATTTCTCATAAAAAAATTGTGTTCATCCATATACTTTTCAATATGTTATAGCATAAATTTAAAAATATAAAAAATAAAATCGAGAATTTTTACACGAAAATAGCATTTGGTAGCCATTTTCACCATGAAGACAAGTCCAGAGGTCAAATTTTTTTTTTTCAAATTAAAGTATATTACATAATCTTTAATTTAAGGTATATATAAAAGTGTCAGTATTTCTGGAACCTTCTCAAAAGTTAAGTTGAAAAAGTTAATTTTTTGTGAAAAAGTTGTCTTTTAAAATCCCTCCTGTGGGCAGATAAAGGGTCAAATTTACAAAAAAAATATATTAAATGATAGGTAAAGATATCAAGCATCTATAAAAAAAAAATTATATTGATATGTTCAGTTTTGAAAAAGTTACGGCACATTTTAGTAAAAAAAATTTCGAAAATTTCGAAAATTAGCGATTTTTAAATTTGTAATTTTTTTGGAGGTTTCCCCCATTTACGGGGAACGATGGAATTTTTTTCAATTTTTAAGGGTAATGTCTTCGACTATATACGATTTGTGATCTTTTGACATATCGTTGAAAGAAATCCGTTCGGTGAGAGCTGAGAAAAAGTGGTAACAGACACAAAAAAAAAAAAACACACATCATAGTAAAACCAATATCTTCTCAGCTTCGCATCGAAGCTAAAAATGTCAAAATTTACTAATATTAAAAATCAAATTTTTTTGTGGAATTTTCCTCATTTACAAAAAATAAGGTAGTTTTTAAGGGCAATGACTAAACCAGATATGATTTTTGTTCTTTTGACGTATGGTTGAAAAAGACGCCAGCTGGAAGCACACGTGTAATTAAAAACCTCTATTACAACTTGTAGAAGTGCGCCAAGTTTCATACACAACTAGGCGTTTAATGGAATTGCNAGCACACGTGTAATTAAAAACCTCTATTACAACTTGTAGAAGTGCGCCAAGTTTCATACACAACCAGGCGTTTAATGGAATTGCCTTGTTCGTGTTAACGCCATATTCTATAGAAGACATTATATGTTTGTGCATACAAATCCTAAATATCGAAATTTGAGGTCTATTCAAATAGTATTCTGCATTTTTATAGGCATATCTAATAAACAATCATTGATAACTAGTATGTTATGTAACATAAAAACAAAAAATTAGTCTTTATAAAAATTTAATGATACACAATTTATTTTAAAGTTCTAGTGATACTATTAAAAGATTTAGACAATAATTTGGTAACTTACGTTTCATAACTATGATAGTTTTGACTTTTTAGTTAAAAAGTGTGTATTTTCTAAGATCTCAAATTATTATAAGAGAACAATGGATACAGTAATATAAAGAAGGTGTATTAAGTCACAAAAAAAATTTGATCTAAAGTAATTGATTTAATAATGAAAAAATATTTCTGTATTTTTTATAATCATGCAAGACATAAAAATGAGTTGCTTTACAATTGCATTAATCCTATTTAAAAGAACATATTATGTTTTTTTTTGAGGGAGGAGGGGGCATATGTTAGTAACCTGCTCGAGACCGCCCATGCAAACTGTATTTTACCTTAGAGACCGTGACCAATAGCCAACATTTCGACAGACGAGCATCAATTCTGGATCGCACATCCCATAATGAGTACAATATCAAAACATGTTCTTTTAAGGTAGGTTTTATTAAAACTAACCTACTTTGTAAAATTAATTCAATATATTGGTTTGATAATTAGCATTTTAAAAATAGACTAAAATAATACTTCTTTATTTTTCTAGTCATACCAGTTTTTAAAACAAAAAAACTTCTCATAAACATATAAATTTATTAAAAACAAATATAGTAACAAAAAATTTTTAAAGAAATAAAAACAAATGTAAGAAAAAAAAATGTATAACAATAAAATAAATTAGGTAAAAGGCAAGAAACGAAATTTGTACAGTTCGTATTTTTTTCTTTGTATAAAAACAAATTATAAAATAACGATAATTTAATGATTTTAATAGGGATGATAAAAGGAACATAAAGTTTTAAAAGTTTAACAAATTTGATTACATGAAATAACTTGGGGAGGTAACTCAATTAAAAATGTTCTTCGACACTGTTTGATGGATTATAAAATAATTTTAAACTATTAAAATTTTATTCGTGTTCTGAATGTTCTTTAGAATCAGAATCAGAACTAGAACCAGAATCACTTCTAGAATCAGAACTTGAAGAAGAATCACTACTAGAATCAGAACTTGAAGAAGAATCACTACTAGAATCAGAACTTGAAGCAGAATCACTACTAGAATCAGAACTTGAACCAGAATCACTACTAGAATCAGAACTTGAAGAAGAATCACTACTAGAATCAGAACTTGAATCAGAATCACTACTAGAATCAGAACTTGAAGAAGAAGAAGAATCAGATTCAGAATCAGAATCGTCCGAAGAATTTATTTTTGAAATCTTTAAGACTATTCTGTCTTCCAATTCATCAGGTTGGGCCAAGTAAATCTCAACGCTACTAGAGTATTTGAANTTGGGCCAAGTAAATCTCAACGCTACTCGAGTATTTGAGTCTATTCGATGATTTACATGCGTCGAGAGCGTCTGTAGACCGTGTTGTGTTAGAGAAAAGTCCTGTTGAATTTTAAGAAATAAAATGCGAATTAAAATATTATTATTATGAATGTTTTCATTAAAGTGTATAAATTAATTTTTTACCATCGCAATCATAGTCAGTTTCTGAATCGTCTTTATTTTTCGATTCGTCGTCTGAATCAGATGTTGAAGATGTGGCCCTTAATTTCAACACTACTCTATTTTCTTTGTATTTACTCGAGTGAAACTCTACGCAGCTTGAGTATTTACACCTCTTCGATGGCTCATATCCATCAAATGTATTTGCCCTTTTCAACGATTGTGAACTATTACATAGTTCAGTCGACTTAACCGAATTAGTAGGATGTATATCCATATTTTCGTAACCTGATAAATATAAACAAATTAAGCATGACTATTATTGTAAAAAATAACAAATATAACCGATGATTAAAAAAATTTTATTTCATACTTTTTTGACGTTCAACTACATAAGTCTCATCGTCATGTTCGACTTTTCTTTTCGTAGATGATTCGTCAAATTGTGTTGAAAACAGTTCTACGAGTATTTCGTGAGGGTCCTTCCAATAAGATGCACGTGATCGGTCAATTTTTTCTATTATTTCTTTGGCGAACGGTTCATAGTTTTCTACTGGAACTGCTATGGATCGAGTAGATTTGCGGTACGAACGCTTAGGCATGTCTTTTGCTGTAGTTTTAATATTGGATTCAATTTTAGGATTGTCACTCAAGTACTTTTTTTTATTGACAGGAGCCTGTTTCTTAAACGGAATTGTAGGTTTTCCACGCAATTTTTTGAGCTGGGCAAACAATTTTTGCGTCTTCGTGCTCATCGTTACAAATAATTTCAATAATTAAAACTTGAAAATGTCAACGACGTTAGTTTTGAGAATAATTAAAAAAATTGATGATAATGTTGAAAGTCAAAAAATTCTCAAAGATAACCTGAGAGTAAAAATGTTTGCTAATTTACAAATAAAAAATTTTATCCATAGAAACTATTAACAGAAAACTTAATTAAATATATTTTTTTTAAATATTTGGAAACGTACAAAAATTGCTTGTTTATTTTTCTTAGTAACATGTATGGAACAGCTTTAATTGAATAATAAAGTGCTATGTATTAGTAGATTATTTCATTAAAATTTCAATTTAATATTTTGTGATTATGTAAAAAATTGATTTATAAAATAATTTAAATACAATTCTTTTGTCTACAATCAAATAATTCGTGAAAAATCCAGACAAAGGGAGTTGCTTTTAAACAGCCGTATTATCATAAATTTTCTAAGAAAAGGAAAAACCCAATTGTCTAAACCATGTGGACTTTATGTAAAATTTAATTAAATTTTTCCATCGGATTTTTAAGAAATGGTTTAACTACATTTTCTCGAAAAAAATAAAAAAGTGATTTTTGTGAACTTGATAATTATTTCTTGTAATTATGTAGGTAAGTTGAATATAATGAGAGAACCAGAACAGGATTTAGGATTAGAATAGTATACTATTGTAACATTACTCTTGTTTTTTATGTATTTTTGAAACATTGCAGAAATTATGATATGGAAAAAATGCCTTTTAGTTATAAAATAATTCATTCTCGCTTATAGTATTCCATTTTCCAACACTAGGTAGATATTAATCTAATTTTTCTTCTTCAGTTTTTACTCAAAATATGATACATGACAATTTTTTCTCGAGAGTCTGTAATACCATTGATATTCATTCGTGATCTATATAAATACTAGTAGTTAGATTAGTGTCCATAATAACCAATTGTTTTAAGAATTTTTATTTACATTAGGAATTTCTGTCAACTATTAATATTAAAAAAAAAATACGTTTTATAACTGATATTTCTAATAATTCTGCATTTCAAACATTGTAATAAATGTTACAAGGAACAACTTAAATATATGAGATATTTAATTTAAGCAAAAAAAAAATATTAAAGTGTATCAAAGTAGAAAATTTAATTAAATGTAATAGTAACTTTGTAGAATTTAAAGAACAACGATTTTGATTATGAATTTCCAACGGAAAATAAACAATTATTTACTAATAATACTTCTTTAAAAGTAAAAATAGTTATTTTAAACTCAAGAGGGCGAAACATAGCCTTTTCCCGAATACTACATCAATAGCGGCACAGTTGGTCTTGCATTGAAAGCATTGAAGATGCTGAAACTGTCTATGTAATAATCATTTTTTAATTGCGTTCTAGATCTTTAAAGTTCTATTTGTTATTTTAATAATGTGCAATAAAATATTTTTTAATTCAATACATAAAAAAGTTAATTTTTTTTGTAGTATTGTTTCAGTTATTTTAGAAAAAGTAAGTATTTTTCTATACACGAAAATTCTTACAAAACATTTAGAAAAATTAAAATAAAGCATTATTATTAGAAGCAACCGCTTGCTAAATGGTAGCCTGGTCACACTGTACTTACAGTCTACAATTACAAAATTTACTCATAAATTTAGTTTTTAAAATATCATCATCAATCATTTTTACAGACTTATTTAGAATTATAAATATATATAACAATAAGTGGTCCTATACATTTTTCTAGGGAGGATATTTTTCATAAATTTTGATGAGTCAGCACTTTTTTAATTGACGAATTTTTTTTTGTTGTAAAATTTTTTAACTACAAAAAATATTTAAAAATAGATTTTTTCTGATTAGTTTGTATGAAAACTAACTATTCAAATTATAAACATTGTGCTTTTATTTTTATTATCAAGATCCTTCAGGTTTAAGATAAAGTAACTCATTTTTTTTTTTTTATTCTTATTTCATATAAACGGTTGCATTAAATTGCAATTGATTTTTGTTGAGCCTGTAATTTTAGTTGGAGCCTATGTATACAACTGAAAAATTACAAATTAAAGCATAAATTTATTAATTTTGCATATTTTTATAAATGTATGAATTACATATTTTTATTTAAATAATATATATTTTTGCTTTATAAAAATTAAGTCAAAAATTATTTGGAGAATACTTTTTATTTTTTAAAGAAAATTAGCATTATAGTTCAGTTATTTTAAGAGAATCCGGTCTTTAATTATTAATTTAAGACCACATGAGGCACATTTACTAAATGAAGCACAAGCCACAAGATAAATGTTATTTAGCTGCTTTACCTTCATTAATTTTAAATACAGTAGTAGTAGCCAAAACATAGGAAGAATATTGGTACAAACTGATATTGAATATCGATCGATATTATTGGCCATATGGGAAGAGCGGCTATCGATTTTTTTGAACCGATAGTAGACCCAAAATTGCCCCCTACCCGAAATAAAAGTAAAAACCAACACGGTATAATTTTTAATTTATATTTATACATAAAGAATGAAAAAAAAAATACATATATATAATTAAAGTTAAAAATAGGTAAATGTACTATTTAAAGTATATAGAATGCATTTGTAAACTCTTGACATGCATCATTTTTACAATACATGATTTCCCGAATACATAATTAAATACATGTTTAATCTAATGTACACGTAATCGTAAAGAACTTTTTTGAAAACTTATGAACTTATTAAGATTTTGTGATTTATGATGTTCCTTAAATTAGTAGTTCAACTTTTACAATATTAACTTTTACAAATTGGTAAAATCAGCAATATAAGGAGTTATAAAAATGAATCAAATTATGTGTACTTGAGCGAAAATAGTACAAGTCAATTTTTGGGTAAAATGAGTTTGATCTGAATATAAATATATCAAATTTCACATTTTCTTTGGTATAAACAGAAGCTGAGAAGGTATTAATTTTACTATGATGTGTTTTATTTTTTTTTTAGTTATTTTTTAGCTTCGATGCGAAACTCAGAAGGTATTAATTTTATTATGATGTGTTTTTTTTTTTTTTGTCTGTGAACGCTCAATCTCAGCTCTCGCTGGACCGATTATGATGAACAATATGTCAAAAGATCAAAAATCGTATCTAGTTGAAGACATAACCCTCAAAAATTGAAAAAAAAACTCCCTCGTTCCCCATAATTTTTTCATGGATTGGTAGCAACTTACGGTTGTCGAATTAGTAAAACTTATGTTTCACACGCTTGGGGTACGAAGTTCCAACTCGCATGTGACCATGAATTTTTTGCATTTTTTTTTAAATTCTTTTTAAGTTAGTATAAATTTTTAACTCGTTTAATTTTTATCTCATTTAGATTCAATAACTTCAATAAAGATCAAAGATCCCATCACTTTAGTCGCCCCTTGCAAGAAGAAATTTCTTATTCGTATTAAAATTATTTTACTATATTTTAAGTTTTCGCTTCGATGCAAAGCTGAGAAGATATTTTTTTGTGACTATCATTTATTTTCTCTGCTCTAACTTGACCTACTTTTTTCAACAATACGTCAAATGACTACAATTCGTATCTATTTATTGGTTATTTTAGTTAAAGTAAAACATTAAAATTAATTCAGTTCATATTTCAATTGTAGTATCTTCTTAAACACCAAAAGTTACTATAAAATGATTACTATTATTAAAAATAGGTTAAATATGTCATTTTGCTTGTTTTTAACATATTAATAATCAAAATCAGTATTAATTTAAAACAATTTTTTTTGTTCTTAATTATTTCTTAATAATAAGTAATAATATTAAAATTTAGATAGAAAAAGTCTAATTGCACATATAAAACATCGCAAAAAGTCGATTTAGAAAAGTAAATTTTTGCTTCTGATGAAAGTTCCTTGTAGTCCAATGCAGTAACAAACAATTTTAATTGAAGAATATTGTATCAAGCCCTTTAAATTTTTATACACGTAAAAGTAAAGCAAAATATAACTTTTTCATTATTTTATAATTTTTCCATATAAATTACAATATTAAATTACTGGATATCAATTGTATACTAAATTTAATAATTATAATTAGTATTTATTCCTATATTATGTTTTAAAATCAAAGACCTACTAATCAGGATATAATCAAAGAAATAAGAGTTAGAGTTAAGTTGCTTTTGGAATAATACACCAACTTCTCTAAATGAAACACTATCTACAGATTTGCATCGAAGCGTTTCTTACGACAGTGATTTTAATCACTGACAGATATCATCTATACTTGTCCCATCTATGCCTCATCCACACTGTGCTACCGTTTTTATAGACCAATTTATGTCCTTTTGACGCTTTGTCCCTTTTGCCTTGTAACCATCGACATTTTATTAATACAGGCATATTAATAGAGCTCAGGTTTTTACGGGATAATACGGTTAGATTCTTTTAAACTGATTAAAGTGAAATTTTAATAAAAATATTGGAGACAATAGGCTTACTTTTGGTATACTTTTTATGAAAACCTTAAGTCATTGAAGAGTTTGAAAGAGATTGACTCACACATATACATTTTTTTTTCAACTAAATTTTTGAAAATATTCCGGAACATCTGTCCTCTTTAAAAATATATCAAATCAAAGTGTACTTCAATATTAAAAAAAATCATTCCACTATTATTCTTTTATGAAAAATTAGCCATTGTAGAAAAATGTTCAACTTTTACAAAAAAATCACTTTATTTTATATGTGAAATTTAACAGATTAGCATAGAAGCGTTTTTTATGTTGTGGTATTAATCACTGTCAAATATCATTTATACTTATTCTAATTATGCCATGATCCCATTGTGCTGGGTATTTTATAACTATCATATTTCGGAGATGAAATACCTGATCTACGTATTAGAAATACGTACATTTTAATTTTAAATATATATATATATTTGTATTGTTTGGGTGAGTGTATTTGATGTTTCATATTTAAAATATATTTCACCTGTACTTTAAATGCGCACTTAAAATAATAAAAAATTAAATTTAATAAATTAATTTATCTTATGTACATTTTAAAACTTTATATCAATCAAATGCAAAATATAAAAATTGAATACTACATGTAGGAATTAAAATTTTTTTTTTTGTTCCAATTTCATTGCATACCTGGAGTTTTTTATATGGCAAAATGTTTGGGGGCTTGACAATCATATGTAAAGTCAAACAGGGCGTACTTATAATAAAAGTATGTTGACATCATAGACAGAAATTTTTTAAAAAAAATTTAAAAGTTCAATTTATCTTTTACCCATGTTCCTGTCAATGATTTATATCAAAGTAATGTGAACAAAGTTTTAGTTCAGGAGGGCTTAAACCTCTTATATGTTCTGCTATGTGTATCTACGGATACAAACAGGGGCGGAATCGGACACTAAATGCCTAAATGGGAAAGTTTTTTCAAAACCCCAATTAAAAATTTTAAAAACATTTTATGCTCGTTATACTTATTCAAAAAAAGCAATCATATTTTTACTATATTAATTTTTTTGATTAAAAAATAAAACTAAATAAAGTAGTTTATAATAAGTAGTATAAAGTAGATTTTATGTTTGTAAAATCTAATTTTGCTATGAAAACAAAAAATATTATAATTGGCTTATGTTTTTAGGACATAATCACCTAAAAATAATTATTTTTATATATTATATTATATTATATACAAAACTATGTATAAAAATTTTTACAATATTATTAATTAATATTAAAAAATAAATAAATAATTTCTAAAGAATAATTACTTAATAAGTATATCATAATATAATAAATAAAAATGGAACAATAAATCACATTTCAAATAGTATCATTTTTTGATAAAATTCAAGTTGATAGACAAAATTTTAAAAACAAAAAAATTATAATAAAAAACTATATACTTTCAATTTTGTTAACTATTTTAACAGAAGTCACTTGATTTCTCTTAAAATAATTAATTTTTTTTTTAGATTTTGTAAGTGATATTAATATATCACTTAATCTGTTATAAAATAAATTTTAAGTCATTACTAATATCGTAAAGACAACTTTATTTTTTTGTAGCAACATATGTATTATTCTGGCTAAATAGAAAATGTTGGCCAATTACAACTTTTGGATCAACATTGTAAAATTTATAAGCATTCTAAAATATAGGCTGTTAGAACGTGGATATTGCTATTTTTATAATATGAATATTTTTTGATGCATTGGTTCAAAATTCGTTATCGACTAATTATTTAATTTTTTAACAAGATCATTTTCTATATTATGAGATAAATTATTATCTATGTTGCTATTTAAAAAAATTAATATTAACACCCCTATATTAAATACGCGATACAAAATACTTTATAACAAATAAATAGATACATATGAAATCATCAAAAGCCAAAAACAATTATTATTTAAGACAAATCAAGTGGCTAGCATCAAAAAAATCTTATATTACTATTATCCATCATAAAAATAATTATTTTTCAAATATATTTTATTTTAATTTAAAAAATTTTCTACTCATTATTTTACTATTAAGTTTTTTTATTTTAAAATGGTATGGATTAGTTTTATACAAAAGCAATAGCTATTATACAATTAAAAAGTAATACTTAAATATATAAAACAATTTGAAATATTTAGTTATTTAAAGTTTAATGATTTCACAAGCCCTTAAATTACAGAATCACTGTAATCTAGATAAATTACTCTTCTTCGTCATCGGACTGAATATAGTTTTGATTATCTTTAAGTTCCTTTTGATATAACTGTTTAAACACAATGAATTCTTCAAAAGATACTTTAGCAACTTTCACAGCAAAATCACTATCACTTGTTTCAATTATTTTCATTAATGATGGATTACCAGTAACGTGATTAGCATTATCTTTTGGATCTCGGTGTTTCCATAAGCCGAGCCTAAGTAAAAAATTATGTCTACATTTTAAATCAAAAAATGATTCTGACATAACATGAGTGGTAACAAATTGACTAGGACCTAATTCCATATTGAATAATAGGTAATTTAGTTTATCTTCTATTTGTTTCCAGTTATCAAACATGATATTAGGAGAATATGATAATAATTCTAAGAGTCTATTATGTTTATTACCAACATAGGGTAAAAGTTTAGGAATTCTTGATAATATTTGTTTACGATTAAGTAATAAACAAGATGGTTGATTTACTAATAGTTGTCTTAATTTTTTATCATCAAAATGACAATTAGTCCAAGCAAACATACACTCATGTAATTCACTTCGATTAACATTCATTAAATCAGGTTGAGAATTGACCATGTCTAAAAGATCAGGTTTTTTAAAATCATATTGACTTAAATAATCAAATATTTCAACCCAACGAGATACAGGATAAAGTCTCAATTTTTCTTGATGATTATTAATAATGTAAGCTAGTTTTTCGTCATTTAAATTCAACTTTTTGGCAATCTGTGAGGTATGTTCAGATATATGTGTTACATTTGAGTTAGAAACAATAGAAGACATATACTGTAACTTGATAGATTTCAGTAAATATGATGTTATGCATGTTTGACACACCTTCAAATTCAGCATCTTCTGAAAATAAATTCATTTAAAAAACTAAAATCAAAATTTGTTAGAATAAATGATTTAAAATTAAAATCTTAGTTAAAAACATTTAAAAGTAATTAAACATTATAGTTAAATAATTCAAATATCCACATAAGATGATGATTTTGATGTCTTAAATGTCAAAGAAAATACATTTTATTCCTAAAGTGATATTAAAAATATGTGTGTTATGAATATTAATTAATATGTAAACTGCATAACATGTAATTAACAGAGTATTTATATTTATACTAATAAAACAAAATAAAAATTTAATCTACTAATTTGGTTATAATTTCTACTTCGTTAGTTATATTCAGTAAAACGAGTAGATAAAATAATTATAAACGATTAAAACTTACCATTTCTAATTGTATTTATTACTTAAATAAAATAAAGTATTAATATATTAGACTAACATTTTGAAATATATTTAACATTTTCAGTGAGTGAACACGTTATCACATTTATGATAATGTAGAAGTATTGATAAGATTTGCAAATAGATTATAAAATAAAATCTTAGTGATTTTGTATGATCAAAAAAAATTTATTCTGAGTCTATTTGGTCATAAAAACATACATTTATATGAAGACCCTAATTCACAAAGGGTCTTCATATATATATATTTTTTTTTTTGAACAGTGTATTATAAAACAGCCGAAAATTATTCTACCGGCAGTATATTTTTATATTATTTATAGCACTTAGGTATTAAAAATATGTATAATTTAAATTGAGGATTTTACATGATCGTCCTTTAGTCATGTTAATATTTTTCATTATTATTTCAGTTAGCTTGAATACAATGATTGGATTTATTTAAATTAAGATGCAACATGTTTTTCACCCAAAAAAAAAATTTGATTCCAGTTATTATGAAAATTATTTGTGTGAATCTTATTAAACTTAACGCGGTATTTCTTTGTTAACCATTGTCATAAGTGTCACTGCTATGTCTTGAGACTACTGCTAGCAATTTAGAATGTTACAATAAGAATTTTTTATTATAATATATTTTACATTTTAGTTTGGATGCGAAGTTATTGATAAGATATTAATTAATACTACGATGTGTTTTTTTTTGTTTGTTACCAGTTTTTCTCAGCTCTCACTGAACTGATTTCTTTGAACCATACGTCAAAGCATCACAAATCGTATCTAGTCGAAGACATTGCCCACAAAAATTGAAAAAATGTCCCTTGTTCCCCGTAAATAAGAGAAATCTCCAAAAAAAATTATTAATTTTTGACATTCTTTTCTCTTTTATTTCTTAAAACTATCATAACTTTTTGAAAAATGAACAGATCAACATAATATTTTTTTATATTAAAAATTCTGATTTTTTTTGAAAATCTAACAATTAATCTGCTCACAGGGGGTGATTTAAAATAGCAACTTTTTTACAAAAACTAACTTTTTGAACATAATTTTTGAAAATGTTTCCGAAATACTCCAAGCTTTAAATATATGTCAAATTAAAGCTTACAATAAATACTATAAGTTCAAAAAAAAAAAATTTGTCCCGAAATCTTTTCTTCTAAGTGAAAATGACCTTCGAATTGAACGAAAAATGTAATTTTTATGTAAAAATTACTGTTTAACTTGAAATATTTAAATACTTATAACTACCATACCTTTTTTGAAAAATAAACAAATTAAAATAATTTTCTTTTATATTAAAACCTTAGATATTTTTTTTTCATTTGATACACATTTTTTGAAAATCTGCCTGTAAACCTGGCTACAGGGGCGATTCCAAAAAGCAATTTTTGCACACAAGTTAAGCTTTTTCAATTTAATTTTTGAAAATATTCTGGAAATATTGACTCTTTTATTTAATCTTAATTTTTGTTTATATTATATACTTGACTACGAAAAAAAAATTCGAAATATAGATGTTCTTTTTGATGAAAATGGCAACTGTATTCAAAATTATGCTATTTTTGTGTCAAAAATTTTGGGTTTTGTATTTTAGCTTCAATGTGAAGCTGAGAAGGTATTGGTTTTACTATGATGTGTTTTTTTTTGGGGAAACCTCCAAAAAAATTACAAATTTAAAAATCGCTAATTTTTACATTTTTTTACTTAAAACTGCCATAACTTTTTCAGAAACAACCAAATCAATATAATTTTTTTTATATTATGATATAATTTTATATTAGATGCATGATTTTATTTGGAATATTTTTTTTATAAATCTGACCCTTTACCTGCCCACGGGGAGTATTTAAAATGACAACTTTTTCACAAAAAATTAACTTTTTCAACTTGACTTTTGAAAATGTTCCGGAAAGTCTGACACTTTTATATATATCTTAAATTAAAGCTAATGTAATATACTTTATTATGCAAAAAAAAAATTTTGGACTTTATTTTTCTTCATGGTGAAAATGGCTACCAAATGCTATTTTTGTGTGAAAATTCTCGATTTTGTATTTTAAATTTTTAACTTTATTATGCTATTATTGCTTTTGGAATAATACACCAACTTCTCTAAATGAAACACTATCTACAGATTTGCATCGAAGCGTTTCTTACGACAGTGATTTTAATCACTGTCAGATATCATTATACTTGATCCAACTATGTTACGTCACCACTGTGCCGCGACCCCCCTGTGCTGGGTTTGTTTTATTCTATTTTAAAATATCTTAGAAGGGGATACACTGACTTTCATGAATTTTATATAATTTAATTGAAATAGAATATAAAGTTAAACTTATTTAAATTTTTTTGCTTTTTTTAAGTCCAAAAAGTAACTTTAAAATTTGAATTAGGGTAAACTGCTAATTTTATCAATCAACAAATGCGACGAACATTTGCCAAATCGGTAACATTTATGATTAACACGTTTAGGGTACGAGGTTCAAATCTTACTTCTGGTTCAGCTACGTTTCATCTAATCCTTCAACTATAATTTCTACGCTATAATGTATTTCAATTGTTTACATTATCAGTTT